CCGCGGGGGGGGCTACAAAAGTGAAAGCGAGGCATGAATAGGACGAAAATGAAACATTTCTAAGGGCAATCATTAAAGACACACACCCAAACAAAAGTCGGAAGACGGAGAGGGGAGCGGAGGAGGCAGTGACTGAACTACAGCTTTGGGCTAGGGGATGGCGGGGTGGAGGGGGGTCATGAGGATCTCGGTCTTATAATTCATCAAGCTCGTGTTTGAAGAATGTCTTCAGCGGGAGCCTCAAACATGTTACAGAGCGCGAGATTGAGTCCTATCTAGCTTCTAAAACGCATGGTTCAAAACTTTTGCGATGGCGAGCTCAAATTCCATGAGTTCAGCCCGCCCCTTCACCACCTCCGACACCGGGTGGGAGAGCTATCCAGCGTCCCCCTGTATCCTAACATGGTTTGTGCCATGGAAATGGTCAATTGTGCCAAGGTCACGGTAAAGCGGGGTGGGGGAGGGGCAGCTGGACAGACACATAGACACAGGTGAATTACGATTTCTAGATCCTATCCTTTCATTCTAGGGGATTGGTTCTAATACAATTAACAAAGTATGAAATCGTCAGTATACTACACGGTGAGGTAAGGATAAGAAAATTCTCTCGGGAGAGAGAAAGAACCCTCGAAGTGGCAAATCCCTTTTGAACTAAGACTACAAGAGATGGAATGATCTATGAATACTTTTAGCAGTGTACGCGTTTTGATTTTGTTGCTGTGAATATCCTGTGCTTTTCAAAAAATTGAGACGGTTCTCTTTCAGAAAAACTCATCTTGGAATTTCGAAGCGGAAATCTGCATGGATACAGATATTAGCAGGAATAGTTTCTTAAGAAATTTTCAGATCTTTTGATCTACTTCTATCATGACATGTAAAAATCAATTATGTTGACATACATATATGAACAATGGACGAGACGAATCATTACTATAATTCAATATTCGAATATTGAAGGAAAAGCATCAAGATCTGAACGATCTTCAAAAAACTTATTTTCTTTCAGACTTGTCTCTTTTTTCACTTGACAATAATACTCTTGACATAAGAATGCTTATGAGCATATTCACAACTAATTTGTGTCTGAAAAAATGTACATAGTAGGATTTGGAAAGCGATTTGTCAGTTGAAGGTCTTCTTCAGTCAATCAGGGTATCGAGTACGAAAAAAGCTTACCTTGAATATTTCTAATGTAATACATGTTTTAATTCGTTCAAGAAATATTATTTTCTTATATTTTCTTGAACTTTTAAAGAATATCATTCACTAGGCAAACATATGACGATAAAAAGAAAACTACACTGATGCAAAATCAAAAATGAGATCTAAGACGGACAATAGTTTTCAGGATTTTTCATCTGAGCTAAGAGTTCTATTTTTATGAAGACAATATTAATTCAGGCAGAAGGTTACCTCGTGACATCAAGGTATTGCTTGAAGAAAAAAAGAATTCCTCTACCGTCGTTTGTAGACCGAGCAACGCGAACGATTGTTTTAAATTTATTCTTATTTCATTCAAAAATATTTCTTGAATGTCAAAAGCAAATGAGGAAAGGATTTTCAGTTTGTTTTGGACGAAAGAAATGGCAGTTTATTTTTATTGTTTTGAGAGCGATTTTCTTTTACATCCAATCTCATCATATGTTTTTGTTTTTATTACTACTACGTGCCAGTAATACATGAGAAAAATAGATACCGAACAATTTCTATTTGTGTATCATGACGCGATCAACAGAATTAATGTCAAGAATGAAATGTCAAACAGTAGAAAATATTCATAGCGGTGAGTTAATTGATGTATTACACATTTATGTTTATAATCTATGTTGATTTCAGAGAAAAACATCGATTTCATTTTATCAGATAAATGAAGTCCATGTTACTTTCTTTTTATAAAAGTTATACAACCTCGCATTTCATAGTAGTGAAATTGTGATTGAAAGGTAAGAAATTACTTGATAAAAAAAAACTATGTACCATGATGATCTTTACTAATTGAATATCAGAAATATTCAAACGTTTTAATCGAGATACTTTCCTATTCGAGCGTATTTTGCGGAAAAAATGACCTGTTTATTCAAATTTGAAACAATTGAAAATTGCTAAAAACATCGATTAATTTTTTACTTAAAGAAACAAAATGTCTATAGTATTCTTATAGAGCGATACACCTTTCTCTTGATTATAAGTATTGTTTGGATTGATAAAAAAATGGTGTTTTTAATAAAAATGTGGTCGGAAAGAAACCTTCTTCATAAACGATGTGTGATGATTGATTAGCTCGCTGAGGAAAAAAGCCGTTACAGAGAAAAGCTTTTCATTCATCGTGAGTGTTTCGGATAGAAATGCATTGTTAATAAAATCTGTCGAACTAATCGTGTAAAACTATTTTAAAAAAATAATTGCCATTTCATCAAGCTTCCTAAAAAATTGTTAATTTTTTCTCAATAATAAAACAAAAACCAATAATTATTAAGAGAAGATTTTATTTGTGTGAAAAAAAGATATGTCATTGGTTTGTTTACTAAAATATGTATAAGATTAGAAGCAATGCCATCAGAATACGATAAATTAAATAATATATATTTTTTTTGTGCATTTTAATCAAGTTCTTCAATATTTGAATCTTTACCAGTTGATCTCGAATAGTAATGATCTGACGACGTGTCATTTCCATTTCCTAAAATATATAAAAGAAAAAGTTCAGTTTCAATAGTAAATGAATATAAAGTTCTTTATTGTAAATTTTAGTAATGATTGACGAGCGAATATTTTTTTTAATTTCATTTATTTTATATTGAAATTCATCTTTTGTAGCCAACTGATTTGATTCAATCACTTCTTCTATTTCTGTTTTATCATCATCTGAAATTTTTCATGAAAATTTTATCATTATTAATAGTTAATTTCATATTAAAATAATACGATTCCCGTGTATTTTTTTCTGCTAGACATGAACGATCTATTTCATCGTCTTCTTTACCTATATCTTTGAGCTCTTCTAATCATTTGTTCAAGTTCTTCTTTCGATAATTGATTACATTTAATATTCCATTAGCATCAACACCAAACGTTAGGTCAATTTGTGGTACACCTCACAAAGCAGATGGAATATTAGTCAATTGAAAATTTCCTAGTAAATAATTATCGTTTACCTTTACACGTTCACCTTCAAAGATTTTAATATCCAAACTAGGTTGATGATCTGCATATTTTGTAAAAAGTCGTGTTGTTTTTTTTAGAATACTGGCATTACGTGTAATGAATGTTTCCCATAAAATGTTACCGGCAGTAGATTTCACTTAAAAAATACCATCCTCAATATTGATTATAGGTACATCAAATGTACCACCACCCAAATCAAAATATGAGAATATTTTTTTTTACCAGATGCTTTTTATCTAATAACTGTTGCTGTTGGTTCATTGATAATCCTTAGAATATTGAGACCAGCAATAGTACCTGCATTTTTTTTAGCTTTCCAGCTCAGCTTTAGCAGTTTCTTTCATTTTTATATTGAGTTTGAATTATTGATTTACGATTTTGATTAATTACTTTAAATGGCTAATGTTTCATATCAGACTGCGCAGTAGAATCATCAAATAAGTCGTTTAGCATCAAAAACTGTATTATTCAGATTGATAGCTACTTGATTTTTAGCTGAATCACCAATTAAACGTTCACTATTCGTAAATGCAACATACTTATGATGGTGTTATTCTATTCCCTTGATCATTTGCAATGATTTCAACATTACCATATTGAAATACACCAACACTCTAAAAAACAGAAAAAAACATTTAATACATAAAATTTAATGAACCACAAATACCTTACAGAATATGTTGTGCCCAAATTAATTCCTATAACGAGAGTCATTGATATTTAAAAATGAAAATTTTCGATTAATAGACTGTTGATTATACTTTTTCTACATTCTTATATAGTAACTATTAAATAAAATTCTTTCTACTACAATCGAGAACATTGTTGGAAGTTTAAAAATATAAAATAAAAGTGAAAAACCGAACGATGATACATGGTAAGCTTACGTATGATACATATTTGTCGTAGGCCATTCTAAGATCCGGGTTTGGACTAGTGCAATGTCGGATTTGGGTAGCAGTTTACATTACAACCTCCACTGCTACCTTGATAGTGGTTGGATTAGTTTCTCCTTGAAGAACTGGACAAAAACAATGGTATTCCAGATAATACAAGTGTTGATGGATAAATTAAAGTAGGGCTCAGGAAGTTATGGATAAGTTTCTATAGAAGAGCAGCTTCTATGGAAAATTATCCATAAATGTTTGAGTCCATACTAATTTCCATCGTTGATGATTACAATACCTGAAACACTATGGTCTCAACACATTTTACCAATAAGTATTCCAATTCAACATGTATCTGCGGCCTAATAGAGGTTTTAACGAAAACTTTTCTCTCAATCTGACATTGGACTAGTCCAAACTCGGATCTCAGAATGGCCTAGGCCAATCCAGGATTGGCCTGAATCCGAGATTGGCCTACGACATATTCACGTACTGTTTGATCAAGATCGAAAATAATATAGTTGTGATTCGTTGGCAATGTACGAGAATGTGTCGCCTATCAAATGCGATACCTTTTGTAACGAAATCTGAATTAGTCTATGTAGAATTTACTTCTGCATTTTTTCTGCAAAAATTAATTCTGTCATCTTTGATAATCTCTCTTTATGCATTGTGTAGTTATGAATATTTTATATAAATGCATGAAGAAATATTAACCTTCATTTTTCGAAAAAATGTAGATTCAATTTATCTCTCTTTTTTTTTCCTGAAAATCACTTATTCGGTTGCTTTATTAAAAAATCAATTTTATTCTGTTATAATATTCTTTGAATTGCTTAGGTAACAATATAAGGATGATTTCGGAAAACAAATGAGCTTTACCAAATCAACAAAGTGAAGATAATCATCTTGATTACGATAAGATTGATACGAGTGATGCAATGGTGCTTTGATCATTTGGAAATCATGCTGCATCATATGTAAATCAATTTTATGCAATTCGCACCTTCAATCACAATGGCCGACCACGCTGGTGGTTCTATAGCTGGCTGAAACAATGATAAATGTTAGATAGAATAGATGTATATATTTAAAGAAGTGATTACATTGTATTTATCATCACATGAATACAGCAATAGCACCAACACACTTCATGTCATCACCTGATTCTGTGCTGCTTGAAATTTTCGCATATCTATCTTGCGAAGATGTTTTGTACACTTTTGCCGATTTCCACGACAGCCACCTTATTGATTTACTTACAGAACATGGAGTATTTCGATATATTTGGCTCTCATCTGAATTGCCACATTGTGAATATGAAGTTCTTTCAAATGGTATCTGGCGTTATAACTCAGTTCGTTCATTTGTATGCAAAGAAATCTTCTGTGAATTTATTACTCACTTAACACCTTGTTCAATATTTCCTGAATTGACCGAGTTACGAATACTTTGTTAACGTTGTACAACAGATGCTGTCGGATAGTTCGTCATTGGACACTCGTCTACACTTACACATTTCGTAGTGAGGAGAAACGAGCAATCGTATTTACTAGAAAATTATGAAAACTTTTTGTACGCTGTATTGCCTCATCTTAGCCGATTAAATTTGCTCGATACGGACCCGAGAAGTTATGTATCGGTATGATATATTCCAAGTAGTAAATAAAACCACAGTTTTGTTTATTTATAGGTTCAATGGAATCAATCAACAGGTTGTTTAAAATCATTGGAACACTTATTCACATATGTGGAATGTGAGTGTGCCCTTAAAGTGTAGATTCACACCCACACCCCACCCTCAAGAAAAATGACACATGTTTCAGTTAGTAGAAGTACTTTCTGTTCATGTGAGAATATTGGTATAGTGCTTTTAGATAAGTATTTTAGAAATAGCGACGTGATTTAATACATTATATATAAGATGTTGTAAAATAAAAATCGCTAATTCTAAAATCTCGGTTTTGTAACAAGAAGTTTTTTTGTTGAATTTATCGATAGATATATACGCAAATATAAAGATCGAAAGAGTTGTTTAAAAATTTCAAAAGCAAGAACTGATTGTTAATGCAAACAAAATTTTCTATTTTTTTGAAATATTATTTTCACAATGGGTCACTACTAGTGTTGTTGTAAATATATATATATCTGCTATCATCACGAGTATATAGACAAAAGGAAATGAATACTTGAATCTATATTCAATTCTATAAAAGATTTCCATATATTTGAACTTGTCCCAACTGTCTTCATTATAGTTGAAACAAAATGAATTCATGATGAATCTATTCGTTGAATAAGTTCGTTTACTGATACAAAAATTTGTTTTATTTTTGTGTTTCATTTTTCTAGGATGTCATGAATCAATCAGATTCATTTTCGAGAACAGATTTTTAAAATAAAACGCCATAACATGAGAAGAAAGAAAAATAAATGAAAACAATTGTCATCGAAACGACAAAAGAAGATGCTTATTGAAGAACAAGCAAAAAATTCCTCTCTTTTCTTTCGTTTATCATCGGTTTCTGAAGGATATTTTATATTCTTGATATATGGAAATTTTTTTATCAGACACGAAAACAAAATTTTATTTTTCACACAAAAATTAAGTATTCATTCATAATAGAAACATAAGTTAGGCAAATTGTTTCTTTTCATAAAAAAACTCAAACAACAAAACAAATAAAGTATGAATAACTATTGTATTGTATATAATCATCAATGTATATGTCGTATCGAAGTTACACCGGTCGACGAAGTTACAGCTGACAATAAAATTTATTGAAGTTAGTTTTATTTCATTTATCAATAAATAATTTACTAAAATTGAATATCCTATTGCTAAATATATAATAAAAAAATTCTTTTGCCAATAAATACTATTTATTCAACTATATAGTTGAATAAATAGTATTTATTGGTAAAAAAAAGAATCTTTATCATATATTTAGCAATAGGATATTCAATTTTAGTAAATTATTTATTGATAAATGAAATAAAACTAACTTCGACAAGTTTTATTGTCAAACTTGTAACTTCGTCGGCCGGTGTAACTTCGGTATGACATATACATTGGGTGAATAAAGTTGTTTTCGATCGGCAATCATTGATATTCTTAATTGTGCTCACTTTCTGTTCTGAGAGGTCATCGTTAGTGACATCATCGTTCATTTCAGTTTCTTCTCGCTCTCTCTCTCTCTCTCTCTCTCTCTCTCTCTCTCTCTCTCTCTCGTTCTATCTCTATACGACGTTTACCTTGCTATGAACTATTGATATGCTGACTATAGAACAATTGCATGAGCATCGGTGGACGTGCAAACACATTCAATGACTATATAAATATATGTAGACACATACACACTTCATTGTATGAAGTAATGCTCATCGAAGAATGGCCAGTTGAATTATGGCTCGAACTGTTTGTTTATATGTCAACATTTGATCTTGTCGTCAATTGGCTTAACCTAAACATTCGTTTGAATCGTATGATCGAACGTGCACTTTTGCTAGGTGTTCATCAATTCGATTTTGATGAAAGCTGGACACATGGAACCTTTATGAATTGTGTTAAACATGTGTTTCCACGTTTGGGTCTTCGTGTAAGCAAGATTATCTTGCGTGATACATTCGCCACAGAACGTCTAGTAGCAAGATCTAGTTATTTTCGTCCTCTTTGCCTCAATATGCATCGACTAATACTCTGCGATAATGTTATATCATTTTTTCCATTCAGTCACCTTATAAATATATTCAAAGAGTCATCATTAATGCATGAACTGATCATCGAATTCGGCCATCATGGAGGTGATTATTATCCGGGTACACTTGAAAAAATACTTAAAAACAATATTTCATTCCATACTATGCGACTCAATGTTATTGACAGTAAGACATGATTTTTAATTCTATATGATATGTTTTCATATTTTCGTATAGATGCTTCTCCCTATCTCTGCATAGATTTAAACATTTTACGTTCCCGTCTCGGAGATGATCATGAATTATGTCTTGCTAATACTGTATGTTTGACATTATTAGTGCAACGATGGTCGAATTTAATTATGCTTCTACAAGATGGTTGTTTACCTTTACTTGAAGAACTCGATGTTAGCATCGAGCAACGACCTCCATATAATATACAAGAAAGCGATGATGATCCACTTCATTCAGTTAATCTTTATAAATTACGATCACTTCGCTTATGTGATGTTACATTAAATAATGTACGTGATCTTCTTCGTTATGTACCGTCATTATCTTTCAAACTCGAAACACTTTCATTGGTTCGTGTACGAGTAGATGATAATGACAGCACCATTAGTCTTCGTCATCTTGTTGACTTCAAAAATTTACTAATCAATCGTTTATCTTCTCAATTATGTCGTTTGCAGCTTATTCTCTACATTGTATCCGATGATAATTTTTGCAAACATGCACTTGATGTATTTAACGTTGCTGATGATACTTGTCCATGGCCATGGCCTCTTATGCATCATCAAACAGAAGAATACATTGATAACCGAAATTCTAAACCAATGGACGTCTTGTACATGAGTTATCCCATCTCGTGGTACTATGGTCGACGGCCACAACTTAACGGCCAAAATAGTGTACGTCATCTTCGTTGGCCATTCCATCATGTACCACCAAGACGCATCTGTTGGACTTTAGAAGATGAAGATGAAATGAGCAGTACCAAAGCCACTACAAATGATATATTTGCATGTTTGAATACACTCGTAAATGTCAATTCACTTCGATGGTCCATTAGTTTAAATCCTGTAAGTTTATCAAGAGAAAAAACAAATCATTTCAGAATTAATCAATTCTATGTCATGTTTGTGTACAAATATTTAGAAATGTGATTTTTCACGAGTTCAAAATTATCAATTAACTTCAGGAGATAGAATATTCAGCAGTCTTAGAAAAAAAAAAGTCTCAGATTTTGACTTTACATAAAATTGCTGGAAATATGAATGAAAAAAAAGCTGTGTCCCGCATGTTCATTGATCTGCGATTTATCAATAATAGTTTAGATTATCATGCTACTAGAGATACACAAAGTCATCATTTGTCAATTTGAACCCTGATCATTTCTTGAAAGATGAACATGTTCGAGAAAAAAACATTGTAGGATATTCATTTTCTCGGAATTTATAAGACAATTATCCGAGCGCCGTTTTTTTGTTAAGTAGAGAATTCAATTTTTTCCGAAAAAGATCATATCATAGGAGTAAATTATTTGAAACTGGTTCGGGTCCTAATCTTCTACGTTTCTACATGTGATATCTTTTACCACTACTTGATTAAAGCGATTTAATTATTCAAGAAATTTTCAAACTATAGTTGGAACACAAGTATATTTTTTGCTTTTCATTGTATTGTTGATGATTTTCGTGTTTCAAACTATTGATATATAAATATATCTTAATAGGGTCCAATCTTGGCTCATCTTCAACAAAAGCCAAGTATCTTTCCTCGATGGCATAAAATGCATGACGTCACTCTCCAATTCATCAATCAAGATCTATTGCCTTCTCATCGTGTTGGAATTCTTGATAATATCTTGCAAAGTGCTTGTTATCTCACAAGTTTGACTGCTCAGTGGTCGGATGTGCTCAATGTAGCCAAGAATAATATTAGAACGTATCCTACTATTAAACGTCTTCACTTATTGTTATCATTCGGACGAGATTGGCATGATGATGTTGATGTCGATGTAATGGTGCTACTAGATCCTTCGGTGATTGCTCATCTATTTCCTTGTCTACGTCAGCTAAGCACATCTGGTGCTTTACCTCGTGGTCGTATTTGTTTGACATCATTGGATCCTCTTGTTTCACTCGTACTTTCTCTAGTTGCGCATCTTTCGCCTCATTTAACATTTCTTTATCTTAACAATTGTGAAGCATCTTTGTCAAGACTTGCTGCTTTGTCTAAAGACAAAAAGAAACATGTTTGTGATGTTTTAAAAATGAATATATCTGCTGCTCGCATTACAATCACTGATGGTGATAGATTGAGAATTTGGTTGTAAAAACAATAAAAATAAAATAAAAAAATGAGATGAAATTCGTCGCAGGTATTTTTTTCTTCTAGAAATGCTGATGTTGTTTTCAGATGGGATCATTAAAAATATGCATGTACCAAACCCAAATCTCAAATATTTGGGCTTTAAACGTCATTTTAGATTTTGAGGCACCTATGCTTCGTATTGATTATATTGAGCTGCGTGATTAGTTTGATAGGTCATTCCGATCATCAATCATCTGAATCAGATGATCTGATTTTAGGAAGACAATATTAATATTGATTTCCGATTGAATTATACAAAACTTAACTAAAAGTAATCGACTCTAAGGAACCAAAACAACTATTGGATTATTAAAAATTTGAAGTTGGTTTTCTCGTTTCTCGATTCATAGTTTTTGGATTTTAACAAAAGTTAATAAAATAAACCTTTACTTCAAAATTTTGATACACAAACGTAACATTCTAAGGCAATGAATCTCATCGATTAGTAACAACAGTTGTATTTCAATACATTCACAGCAGTGAAATTCGAAAGATTTTTTGAGTGCCATCGCAGCAGTGGCAGCTTTTTTAAAAATTCATCACAGTCCGACAGCATCGCGGGAGAGTTTCTTTTCTATCGCCGGGATGCGACAGGGGAAGGTTTTCAGCCGCGATGGCCACATTTGCAGCGAACCTATCTTTGGATGAAAGCTGACTCTTCTGATACAGTTGGAGCATGCTATATATTATTAAAAGATAAATTTGAAATAAGCCCCCAAAACAACTAAATTCCGCTAGTCCCTCGAATATATAGCACGATATAATGATATTGTTTATTTTAAGTTTTCGTATGAAGAAATAGGCAATAGTGTATTTATTGTTGTTTAGATGAGGAGAAAGTAGAATTTTTATTTTCTCTATAATATATACTTTGATGTTAATAACATACAGTGCTGGCCATAATTCTCTACTCCTGCTGAAGTTTATCGGTAGTTTAAGCTTTTGATTTGAGATTTTGGTCACATATGTGTAGTGAGAAATGCTGATCGTAGACACCAACCCGACATCAATTCAATGTAATAGGAAAGAGTGATACATCAAACACTGTCTTTTCCTCGGATTGTTCACATCAAGAAAAATGGTACTTTTCTATTGCTGAAAGGTTTATAGGTAATTTTTCCAGTGATAAATATAGCTCCTAATGACTACAATGCTGGATAGAAAGAACGCTTGAATTCATGGAGATATAAATGATTGGTGAAGTACGCAATGGTGAGACCACTATATCATTGTATTTTCAATTTAGTACGCGCTATAATTCTGAAACTTTCGGAAAACATTTGTGGACCTATCAATATGCTGAGAAAAATTTTTCAAGTGAATTGGTTAATCTAAAAGTGACTTCCGTAGCGACGAATTGAAAATCATCACACCTGAGATTCCGTAGACATCTTTTAGCAGAGTGATATCTGAGCAATGTGAAGGATCTTTTTGCTGAAAGTTTTATTGGAGAAAGCTTAAAAACCAAGCTTTCGAATGATGGGTTTCGCGACATCCAAAGTGCTAATATGACAGAGATATGAACAATCCCAGGTAAAGACAGTATTTGATGTCGAATTGGTGTCTACGATCAGCAGTTGTCACTACACATATGTGACCAAAATCTCAAATCAAAAGTTTGAACTCTCGATAAACTTCAGCGGGGTAGGGAATTGTGGTCAGCACTGTAAATCGTTTTATTTTTGTTTAATAATTAGATTTTGAAGAATTTATAACTGGTTTATTTTCTTTACTTTTAAAGAATATATCATCAAAAATTCTTCTGTTTTTTTCTGTCTCCTTTTATTGTAATTGCATAACAATAACCAAATGAAATCATAAAACAAAAAAACACACTAACGATAACAAGAAAAATACTACATCGACATTTCAATAACAAGTTCAATTTTTACCAATAAATGTAGAATAGACAGAGAAAAGAAAAGGGCTCGAACAATGAAAAATAAATATACAATTAAGTTCTATTTTATTTTTCAATGAATTAAGTCAAGATGATGCGTTTGCCGATCATTGACTTGTAAGTTCTCCAATTTCTTGCGATTTTTTTGATTATTTTTTGTTTTTTCTTTCGTTTTATCTAAATAAAAAAAGATTTAAAAAAAGATAATCTTAAATTAAAAAACAAACTTGAATAAGAATTCTCCGCATTATTTGTATTAGTTGATGATTTATGAGAATCAGCTAAAAAAGAAAGAAATGCGTTGGTTTTGTTTTGAATAAAGAAAACTAATAAAAAAAAAAAGATTTGCTATTTAATTCTGTCTTTTGTTTTTGTTGTACTTGTTGAATCGATTGACGATGATGATATATCACTTCGTTGCTTAAGACAAAAATAAAAATTAAATTAAATATTTCAATTTTGAAATAAATTAAATTTTACTTTAGCCATTGTTGATGATGAACTTGTTTCATTCTCTGAACTTGAGCTATCCAATGATGAACTAGATGATCGATGTGTTATTCGATTTACATCACTATCTGATAATGATGATGAACTTGTATTATCCGATCGACTAAATGCAACATAAAAGTAAAATTCTTTTTAATAGTTCTTTTTATTTTATATTTATATCTGAATCTTTTTCATGTTGATCTTTTGAATGATTATTAATCAATGAATCACTATTATTAGTACTTGCTTTTTCGATGTACGACTTGAGATTTGTCGACCAGGAAGAAATTTATTTGTTGTTGCTGTTCTTGTTCTTGATGATCATATGATTTGTTTTTATTACCATTAGATTTTTTGTCATTACCATTTTTGACCATTCTATTTAAAAAGAAAAATAATTTAATATTTATTCAATTATTTTTTATTCAAAAAAATTCTTTTTTTTAGTACTCAGATGATTATGTTGTTGATAATGATTTTATTGCACGTGTTATAGAAGGTGAACGATGTTTTGGTCTATTTCCCGATCTCGATCTAAAACGTAACTCCAACGTAAAATGAAATGTTAAATTATATGCAAAAATATGATTATTCATGCATATAAGAAAAAATAAACAGTGTGATGATTAATAAGAAATAAAACTTGCCTTGATCGATTTGATGATGAAGAAGATTGAGAACGTGAACTAGATGAACTAATAGAGAAGAACAAATTTCCCTAAGAATTTTATTTAGAAAATAATATTATTCCGAAAAAATGAATTTATAATTACCTGAAAGATGAAGCTGATGATGATGATGATGATGATGATGATGATGATGATGATGATGATGATGATGAGCAGGATGATTCACAGCCACCACCACCTAATGAACGACGATATAGGAGATAATTATCACCGTTTGGTATTTAAATAATATGATGATCTTGATCAGTATATTTAGCAACACATTCACCAGGAGACATTTATTTTCAATGTTTTATACAGAAATAAAAAAGCTCATTCGAAAAGAAAGAAGACACACGAGGAAAAAGACGAACAAATAAAAAGAAATGTTTCAGTTTCTTCTGATTATTGTGGATCCTCTTGGACCTTCATATACTGTTTGTATATCTCAGCAACCAAGTGTACGTGTTGAATTACATAGGTAGTATATTCTACCTTACGATCCACCGACACAATTTCCCATCCCATTCTCTTCGCCTCTTCCATAATTTGTTGTTGTGATGTATCAATAGCGGCGTGGTGGCTTGTACCTGTACCAGCTTGATCGATAATAAAGATTTCATATGTGGGATTGTTTGGATTTTGAATATTGATGATCAGTGACCAAACAAGTCGAGGCTCAAGAGCATGCTCAAGATGAACGAATTGCATCACAACAAATTTCTTGCCATCGCCGGTCAAAATAATCTCACTAGCGTTCTTGTCATTGTTCTTTTCATCATCGTTCTCTTCATCATCGTTCTCTTCATCATCGTCGATTTTTTCGCTCTGAAGATGAAAAAAGATGCATTAGTTTATCTTATCAGAAAGCGAGTGATATAGAATAGACGATCAATATATTTTCTGGACTTTCAGAAGAAGTAGTCGTTACTTTTTTTATAGATAGAACTATTTTCGCCTATGCTTAGCCCACCCCAATATTTGCTTGTGTATTTGAATAGACAATAGCTCCAAGAAATTCTTCAAGATATTCATCGGTGAGATGAAATTTGACCTCGGCTATTGTTCCCTTAGTTTGATTTTCGATGATTTTGATGTTTTTTCTTTCATGTTGAAGTTCTTTTATTAATGTATTCATATTTCGATAATGAGGTAGATTTTTTCCACCAACAATACACACTGCACGAACACGACCAATATCCACGATAACTTCATAGGCAGCAGCTGCGACATTTTGTAAAAACTATTAAAAACAAAAATGATGAGAGTATAACAATAAATGCGTTAAACGAAGAGAATTTACTTTTTGTGCATTTACTTTCGTTGTTCTTACTACTGAATCTGGCAGACCAAAGGCTGGCGATACATGTGATAAAAATACACCACCATCGTAAAAAACACAAATGCCTACGCATGTGTTGATTCCATTAGTGACCAACAAAAACTCATTATGTCTATGTTTATCCATATCAACAAAATGTTGCTCCATCGAATTCATCGGTTACTGTTCGCTACACTAGTCGCACAAAGGACACGTGGAATCAGTCGCTTCTTATTACTTGATATCAACTAGAAAGAAGAGAAAGAAAGAAAGAAAGATGATTTTATTTTCCACCAATTTAGTTCAGTGCAAAAAATGATGAATACTCGGCGGTGGATTCGAACCACCGAGCGACACTGACAAATCGAGTTGTAAATCATCGTCTATAACACCTAGACCAAACCGAGTGAAATCTGCTGTCGAATGACACATTATTTACCAAGCAATTACTCTATTTTACAAGTACCCAGGTCGAGCATTCCGGCACGGAAACGACCGGTTCTGTGGTATTCTGGAGATTTCATGGAAGCAGTATTCCGGTGAACGGATTTATGCAGTTCCGCGCGAAATCGAATAAATCATTTGTTATACCTGTACAAGATATTCATTCTGTACTTGAATTAACAGTTTATGATGAAGATTCAAATAAAACTAATGAATTTATTGGACGAGTTGCAATTCCATTATTATCTGTATGGAAAATTATTATTATGTTTTGTTTTTGATTTTGTGTATTTTTTAAAGATAAAAGATGGTGAAAAGAAATGGATGACATTAAAAGATCGAAAATGTTTATTACCTGTTAAAGGTGCTATTGAAATAGAAGCTACATTAATTTATACAAATGTAATAATTTTTCTGAAAGCAAATTTTATTTATTGTTTTTGTAATTTTAGCGTAAAGCAGTAATTCGAACATTTAACCCTAAAGAGAAAATAAATTGATATGGCCGAGAATATAAATTAATATAAAAGAGAAAATAAATTGGTATACAGGAAAAACTAGATGATTGCCTTTAGTAGGCTTTCCCAGGTCGATCAAAACGGACCACCGTAAACCGGCGTAATATTACCGTAAACGGTCGTTTTTGCATCGTATTCCGCCGTAAAACGGCCGTTTTAAGCCGTATTAAGGCGTTTTAACAGGGGCCGTATTACGGCCGTACACGGAGACCGTATATCAGCCGTAAAACCTCGTAAAGCAGGCGTAACATTATCGTATTCTATAGAACATACGGCCGTATTACTGACCCTGTTATACGGGGAAAATACGGCACGTAAAACGGGCCGTATTTGTATCGTATACGATCGTTTTCTTCGACCGGGGTTATTCAGTCTACAAATAAATTAAAATCGTCTACAAAGTCGCAAAGAAAATTTTCAGAGAGAAAGCTATAACGCAACGAATTTGAGCGGGGCAAAATCCCCTTGCTCCCCTCTTCCCCGCTCGTCGTAAACTATGATCACTAGGCGGTACGTATGGATATAGTATGTAAGTATAAGAATTTCAAAGAGCTGAAGAGATATAATTCCACAAATATTGCTATCTTTCATGAAGCTTACTTGAGTATTAAATAGATCAGGCACTCGGTATAGTGTAACATAACATTGAATGGTTAACTTAGAGCTGCAATCTCGTTCAAATTTACGACTTCTTCTCAGGTGTACTTCCTTATCATGACGTTGCTCACACCAAAAATATACTCGTTTTTTTCTCAGAATCTTATCCCCTTTGATTTTGAATAAAATTTCTTTGAGTATTTGTCAATAGTAGAGTAATATGGTGAGAGTGCGTTTTTTTATAGCTACTAATGGAGACAATAATGATCGGAAGCAACCCGTGATCACATTTTGCAGTATCTTATTTAAGTAATCTATAGATATAGTCAGTTTATTGAAAACTCCTTTCACTTCTGTCCACTTGTTCGAGCATATCCTTTATTTACTCCTATAACTGCAAAGAACATAAGTAGAGTAAAACTCTGAATCATCTTATAGCATTTTTCAGATTTTATTTCTATCAGAAAATCAAGGCATTGATTTATATTGCAGAACGTATCAACACTGTTGATTATTTGTTAACTTTGAACAATCAATTATTGAAAATCTTGACCAGAAATGTTGGTGTTTCAAATTAAAAAAACCAAGATGTAGTTTAAGAAACTTAGAATGAATCAATACTTGTAAATATGACTATAGTCTCATTGTGTTTCGCAGGAAGTAAATAATTATTTGCTTGTCGTATTTCTCTGTTGCTGCCGAATGAAGGATCTTTTAATCCCTAATTCGATATACATGTTATCCTAAATAAAAACACTGGACAGAGTTTTATTTTGTGTCAACACCACACATATCGAGAATGATTACTTTATTACAGCTTGATCATTTATAATGCTATGCTTCAAAGGTAAAGAATAGAAAATTTAAAAGAAAAGAAAGATACGTATGACATTTATCTTAGTATGTGATTCGTTTTGATGAATTGTAATTTAGTAAAATAAATGTGGAAACTTCGGATTTCATCCGAGAGCTATGTGTACTGCAAAAAGTGCATGCGACATATGAGCCATTCTAGAATGCCTGAACACGAAAATTATCATGAGAAACTAGACAATT